CCCCACGTCCACTCACGGGAGCGAGGCTTCACAACGGCTGTGCTGCCACAGCTGATGGAAACCATGACTTTATTCTTTGTTCTGCTTCTTAGTTTTTGTTTACTTTCTTTTTTTTTTCAATGATAACAATGGTCTTATTTGCCACTCGCAGGACGATTACTGAATTAGGTTCTTGAGTTTGCATGTCACGGACAAACATGGCTCTGGTTACGTGCTTTACATGCTGTGTTGGGTGTTTTTGTAGTTTTACCAACTTATGTCCTGTGACTATTGTTCTGTTTCTGATCTCCAGTATTTTAGCAAAACTGCAGATTATGAGGAGATGATTTACCCTAACAGCCCCCTTCAGACCCAGACTGCATTGGGTTTTTAATAGTTACTATATTAACCAGGTTTATAGATTTATGACCTCTTTACTCGGGCTCAGGCTTCTGAAGCTAGGACGCAGGGAAGAGCTTTAAGGGTCCAAACTTCCTGAAATTGTACTTCACATGTTACCTGTTCTGTGTGAAATGCTGTATATGCCGCCCCCGCCCTGGAAGAAGCGCCAGACTGATGCTTATAGGGCGGCATCTTTCTGTTCTTAAGTGAGCTCAGGGCAGGAGCCTCGTGTTGCTGGTGGAGGTTCCCCCCAGTCCGGACGGCTCTGCAACATACATATCCAGCAGCAGAAATGAGAATAATTTACAGTCCGGCGTGAACCACTCTTGTACTCCTTAGCTCTAGCGCCCTTGATTAGCTGCTTTAATTAAATGTGCCTGTGTCAAGATCCGACCAGGATGTTTTATTTCTGACCCTCTCCTTAACCACCCTTCTCCTAATCATCCTGAGTGAGTTAGGAACTCACTTCTACTATGAGCTTTTCTTGACCCAGACCTGATACTTACCTCATTCCAGTTTTTTCTTCAGTACTTACTTCACATAAAAGCAGTCTGAAATTAAGTTATGTACACGATCATTTTCACCAGAAGGCCTAGCTGGTTTAAAACTTGGTGTGTCATCTTTTCTCTACTCAAATCTTGAAGAATGTGGGTAGTTTCAGAAATCCTCAGCTTTTCCTGGAGCTGGGTGGCAGCTGATGCTTTCTTTCATACACCTCAGATGTGAGGCAGTTCCTTATTGTTTTTACTCGGAAAAGCTAAAGGATATTAGACAACATCACCAGTTCATTGTGTCTCTGGCTTGAATTAAATGGACCAACCAGGATCCAAGAATATTTTTAACTTGGCTAACTGAGTGTATTTTTTCCCCCTACTATATGGAATTCGGACATAACCCTTCTAATGTTAAAGATTGTTGAGAGACCGATGGCTATGACTGTTGCCCTTTGTGATGTCCCACTGTAAGATGGGGAGTCATCCTCCTAGGGTAGTGGTGAATTTTAAAGAAGTTAACTTTGGTAAAGTCTCTAGCACAGTGCTTGGCACATAGTAGGGTGTGTTAATTTCTTTCCCTTCCCTGCAGGCCATTCACCTGCTCTTCCCTCTACGATTTTCCATAACACAGTTTTTACTTGGAACCAGCCTTCTGCCAAGAGTCTCAGTTTGGTTGTGTACTCCTACAACTACTATTTTTGGCTTGACTTCCCTCTCCAGCTCCCAGTGGTCCAGCCACACAGTCGCCTATTGTACCAGCTGGTTGATGTAAGTCTATCCATCCTCAGAGGAACCTGGTTACTTACCAGTAAGCTGTGTTTCTCTGAAAATGTAGCATCCTTGGTAACTAATATAGTTGTTTTCTTTCTTTACCATCAATGATGGATTACCTACAACAACTTCCTTGTGTGATCCTCAGGTTGGAACTAGAATTAGAGAATTTAATTTGTTGCTATTGGTCTCCTAGTGAGTTCCTGAGTCCAAGACATATGACTCTGATCAGGTAAAATGCTGTGGAGACCCATGAGGTCAAAATCCTTTTCAGTGCTCTGAGTGATACGAGACAATAATATAAAGTGTCAAGGATGATACATTTTCAAAGAAAAAAAGTTACTGGTAAGTAACTGGGATTTTTGAGTAATTTTCCTGTAAGTCAATAAATAAGAATTCCCAAACTTGTTTTACCAACAAATGCTTTTGCATTTGAATATTATTTCATAAATGAAAGGGATATGGTTATTAGTTAAGGTTAATAGTTAAAGAATGGGGTAGGTTTCTAGAGATACTACATAGATAATGAGGTGGGTATAGACCTTCAATTTGCTAAATAGGTGTTCTCTTAGCTTTAAAAAGAAATTGAAGTCGAAGTCTCCATTAGGGAAAAATCAGCAAATGCAGTCGGTTCGTTCCAGAAACATTTTTTGAGTGCCTACTCTTTTTTGAGACACTGTGCTGAGTATTGTTGCGAGACAGAGGTAAAACCACACTCTGCCACAGCCGCTTTGAGAGCTTATTTCCAGCCCCTTGGTGACACTTTTATGACTCAGAATTGAGGTGATGGGTCATGGGGGTATGGCAGGTGTGGGGTTGGAGATAGTACTTAGCGCTGCAGCCTTTGCTGTCTTATTTTCTGTGCTTCTCTACGTTCTTTCTGTTAACGGAAAAGTCAGCTGACCTCGTTCAGTAGACTCAGAGCATTTTCTGTCACTAGAGCAAACAGGTGGAACAGAGCCAGCGTTCCTCCTGTCTGGTAGTTGAATAGGATATTCAGCAGTCCTCCCGTAAGTGTGACCTTGGATTTAGATATTAAAGCAGGTGAATAAGTCAGAGTTGGAGAAGCAGCCGCTCCCCCTCGCCCCCCAGGCTTTAAAGGGGGCCAGTCTTCAGAATTAAAATCACAGAATTAATTTACCTCCACCATGTGTAGAACAAAAATCAAAAACTCCAATTTAATTGTTTTGCAAGAAATGAAATTATTTTGTATTTAAAATCACTGGGTAGTGTATAGCACTTTATTCCGTAGTTATAACCACTCCTTGCCCCAGAGTGACCTGGTTAAGTAACTTAAGAAGGAATGAAGACATGGTAGGAATAGGACAAGAGGCAGATGCTGGGGGAGGAGATGCCCTGTGACACTGTTGGGTGTCTCTCTTGCACAGCACCCATTGCACGGGCATCTCAGGGTGAGAACTAGAGCATAGGCATGAAGCTTGTGGGTGTTGGAATCAGACTTAGGCTTCCATCCTGGCTTGGTAATTTACTACCTTTCTGACTAGGCAAGTTATTTAACCTCTCTGAACCTCAGTCTCCTCCTCATTTTGTGAAATCGTGATGCCAAAGGCTAAGATGAGAAGTGGTTAAGAAAATGTATATAAAGCACTTAGCACAGTGCCTGCAACATAGTACGTGCTCAATAAATGTTAACTGCTGTTATTATTGGACGGATGGATGAGGAATTGCATCAGAGGCCAAAGAAGGAAACAGGGAAAGATTGCGGGTTCTGGAGTTTTAGTAAACTGTTCACACCTTCTTATTTACTTGAGCTATGAGCTTTCTAGTATTATCTTTAATCTTTGCCCTTTTGGAAAGCAAATTAATGGATTAATCACTGTCACAGTTCTTCCTAACTACTCTATCTTTAAACCTTCACTTCCACTGAGGAAGGAACTATTTTTTTGCTGCGGTGACTGTGACTATTGGAAGATTATCCCCCTGGCCTGAGGAAGTGCTGAGGGCCAGGTGGGCCTGGATGCCAAAGACTTCCACTCTGATTTCACCAAATCTAGACCCGCGATTTTTAAGTCCTCTTAAATAAAAATGAAACATTTAATAATTATGTGTGTTGTATAGACATGACTTTTTTGGTTTCATTTTACTACTTCAATTCTACTTCTTTTTGCTCTATTTTCATGGATTATATGTCCAGGGTATTTTTGAGAAGGCTCTGGAGACCTGATAATTGGGTAATGGTACTCTTTTAAGAAAAGCTGGATTCCTAGACAGGATGGAGAGTGCTGTGGTATTTGGGCACAGATCTTTACCGTATTTCATCAAGTCAAAGATGCAAACTTTTTAACATTTTAACATCTGAAACTGGCATGCGTCTTAGAATCACTATGATAAGAAAGCATTGTGTTATAGTTTAATTGGCAACATTATTTTCTTAATGATACAGAAGATAATGGTGTGCTTTGAAATTGATGTCATCGTAGATTGGATGAAATACGGTATTTCAGGGAAATATATTTACTTAACCAGTATTAGAAATGTATAGAAATGTGGTATCGTGACAATATGTGTAGTGGGTAAGAGCAGGGGCTCCAGAGTCAGACGTTCTGGGTTTAAATTCTAGCCCTAACAGTGTATGACTTTGGGCCAGTTACGTATCCTTTCTCTATCTTAGTTTTCTCACCTGTAAAATGAGCGCTAAGAATAGTCCCCATCATACAGCGCTGTTATGAGGACTAAATATAAGACGTGTAAGTGTTTAAAATAGTGCCTAGCACATAGGAAGTGCTTAATAACATTAGCTATTATTGTTAATAATTTAGAGATTACACTTCTGCAGAATTGATTTGAATCCATTTCGTTGTGATTGAAATTCAGGTCTATTACCTTTTATATTTGTGTATCATCTGATAATATCAGCAAATGACACTTGGGTTTTTAAAAAGGGAAGGTAAAGGTAAGAAAGGTTAACCTTACAAGTTTCTATATTCTTATTAAGATTTAAGTGGCGTATTTGGTATATATATATATATATATATATATTATTCCATGTGGATGAGATGTAAATGAAATTAAGCAGTGAGGTAGAAAATTTATAGTGAAAGCAAGGAGCAGTTAATCTGAGGCCAGCCTAATTATAATATTTGATTCTTATTGATACTGGTAAGTATGGAAAGGGTTGGAAGGTTTTGAAAATTTGCAAAATCTGAAGCTTTTTCTATTGCTAAGTAAAAGAGAGGAGAGAATCCTTTCTGGTTTTTATGAACTTACCGTCTCAGTAAAGAAATTTCTTTTTCAAAATGCTGTAAGTAGGCAGCATCTCTTTATAATATGATGCCTGCAGCTTCAGGTTGTCCTTTTATTCTTACGAGTCAATTTTATTTTTTTCTGTTCTAGTGTTCGGTGACCAGTGACTTGGATTTTCCAACACAAGTCATCCCGTTAAAGACTCTGAATGCAGTTGCTTCAGTACCCATAATGTATTCTTGGTCTCCTCTACAGCAGAATTTCATGGTATGTAAATAGTGTGTCTTCTTATTTGCTAATCACTTCTTTTAAATAAAAAAGCATAGATAATTTTCTTGTCAAGGTGAGTTAAGATAGTATAAGTAAAAATAGCTATCGAAATGGGAGTACTTAGAGTAATTTTTTAAACCAATTAATATATGTATTTTTAAGCCTTTTCGGTGTTGATGTTGCTCTTTTCTTAGTCCTTTCTAGTTAAAATATTCTCCAAAGGAAAAGTATTAAGCAAAAGCCATACCTGGGATTAAAAATATATTTGAAAGATGAGGCTTCTAGTTCTTATCCTTGAAGATGTTAGTCAGTATCCTGTAATCTCAGTCTGACTTTGAGGTTTTGTTAATTGAGAACGTATTATTCAAAACAATATTAGGCAGCATGTTATTAAATGATAATGTACACTATGAAATATTCTCAGGGCAAGGTTAAGCACTTTTCCACAGATAACACTGGCACAATAGCTTTTGTAATGAAATGCCAGTATTTAATTCTTTATAGAAGTAGGATGAAGGAGGATGGAACAAAAGAGAAATTTGAGTATGCATTCTTGACTTGTGTTGTTAAATTAAAAATACATAGTTTTATTACTTAGTTGGTATATAAAATAATAGGGCTATTTCAGTGTTGATGGAAGTCCTTGGTGAGCCTACTTTACAGAATTACCTGCTAGATTTTTAAATAAATAGATGTTTCTAATGGCTTCAGTAACTTTGCTCTTAAAAATTTTGCAGTGGAGGCTTAAAGGCAAACTTCAGATTCTCTTTTGCCATTGTGTATTTTTGTGCATTTAAGGCTTTATTCAGAAACATTTTGTTTGAGAATCATGTTGCAGGAGCTTCTGGGAGGGTTCATATTTTCACAGACTGTAATTCTGAAAGCATATAGTGTTTAAAGTCAATAAATTTTACTTCTTTTTTTTTAAACCATTTAAAAAATTGAAGTATAGTCAGTTTATACTGTTGTGTTAGTTTCAGGCATACAGCAAAGTGATTGTTTCAGATTCTTTTCCATTATAGGTTATTACAAGATATTGACTATAGTTCCTTGTGCTATACAGTAGGTCCTTGTTTATTTTGTATATAGTAATGTGTATATGTTAACCCCAAACTCCTAATTTATCTCCCCCTCCAAAGGTGTCAATAAACATTATGAATCATCATCCATGGGTTTTGCTGGTGACGAAAGCTAGGTCAGGCAAGCTGTCTTTATTATGGCTGGGATATATTTTGAGGTGCAAAGGTTATATGGCTATAATTGGGAAGACAAAATAGCCAATTGTCATTTAATTTTGGCTTGTGTCCAAAATAATTAACTCTCCCAGTTTAAATGGGATTAGTGCAGGTGAGGTGTGATGGCAGCTAGACTCATTAGTTGTATATAAGCTTGACTCTGAACAGAACAATAAATACGTTAACATCTAAATTTTCCTTTTATACCCCATATGCACTTTTTCTCCCAGTTTCCCTTTTCCTTGTTTGTCGAAGGTACCATTATCTTTAAGAACTCTGCAGTTATCCTAAATTTGTTATGTAGGAATAATTTGAAAATCTTCCCTTTTCTTCCTGTTTCCTGCCTGCTCCTACGTGACAGTTCCGTGTGTGTGTCACGGCCTTTTGCCGGTGTATTCCTCCCTGTCGATCATGGGCCAGCCTAAGGCACCTCACGCTTGACATTTGATCTTAGCCAAAAGGCCGAGAAGCGGTAGGCACCTCACACTTGACATAGTTGCCATGTCCTCCCATCAGTCTTAGACAGTCCATTCTGTTTATCAGAATTATCTTTCTGAAATTCTGTTTTTAACCAATACCTTGTTCAGAGGCCCCTTAAGACTTAGACCTATCCTTGTTTTAGTCTCCATATTTAGATATGGACTTCAGAAACTTCATGTCTTTTTTTTTTTTTTTTTTTTTTTTTTT